ACGCCTAGAACTCAGTCCACCCGACGGTGACAACCATATTCGAACAACTTCCCTCGCGCACTGTACCCAAAACACATATTTATACAGTACGAGGAAAATTAGTTAGTTCATTAGGGCCTTTGCTCAACTAATAAGGTAATAAAACTCAATTAATCACATTGACAACTACACAAAGACATTTGAGAGCATGCAAAACAAGCGCAAGCAAAGCAAGCGGTTGAGAATTCACGACAAGAACTCGATTAGAGAGTACTTTAAGGCAAATATGCCGATCAAGCCAGCTCTACCTCGGAACTTTGTCCATTCACTTCAGCTTTTGCTTAATTGACCAGCAGATAATCACCCTTCAAAGTTAATGTTTGTGGTTTCTTTGTACAATATGCTGACTTGGAAAATTTATATTTGGAAAAGCGAGCAAACGTTGAGGGATCACTGTAGCTCAATTATTTTTAGCCAATGAAAACTACTTGGACGATTTGGAATAAAATTATTCCAATATTCAACTTGGACGATCATGATAAATTTTGGCCTTGGTTGGACAATCCTGGGAAATACCCTCTCAAAATATGGATGTCACATACTTCGAAGTAATAGTTTCTCAGACTGTAGTAAATTTAGGACATGCGTACGGATTATTATCCGGAGTACTGATTTGAGGTGCTCAACAAGCAAGGGTGGTGGCCAAGATTATTACTCTCTACTACTTGTAGTACGTAGCAACACCTTCGGTGTTGATTCGAGGGAATAGCTCACTCTGCAGTACTGTATTGCTGCCTAGCATGTACTGGAAACGCGTTGTAGGAGAGCAAGAAGCTGTCAGAGCCGTGAGCGGGCAAGATTCGACTTGTGTCAAGTACTATAACTGAAGAAGGGTAATCGGTACAGTTTGTAGCCATCGCGGCATTTGAACAACTGCTTCATCTTGTGTGTCGCCGATTTCAAAGTGTACGTGTATCGCATTGCACTGTATCAGATTGAGTGACGTGGTACGATGTCAAGTGTATCAGTTTAACGCGTATTTCGTCCCGAGCATTTCAAGCCACAAGAATATCTTTGGTCAAAATATCTCTTTTTCACTTTCCTCCATAATACAGTAACGTGTCGTTGCTGTAACGTTACCAGTTAACCGATTGCATGGTGCGTGAAAGTACTACCTACATCAATTCCAGTTACGTGCACTACTGTTCAGCATTGCAGACCCTTCCCTTGGGACCATTGAGGCAATTTTGTAGTACAATACCTCCCATTCTAAGTTATCCAATGTTATTTCAATAACTATTACTCCGTACGTAGTACTACGTAGTACTAGTACTGGTACTGTAGTACATGTACTATTAATACTAGTAGTACTGATTGCAACCTGCGATGTGGCATTTCTATGAAAATTATCAATTCAGAACCTCGAAGTACATGTACTCAGGAGTACTAGTACGGTACTAGTAGTACGAGTACTGTGGTACAGTGTAACATTCCTGTATCGTATCCAAATGCTGGCTGGTACTGTACGCCGACTGGCCAAAGTAATCGTTGCATTTCACCGCGACGATTGACCTGTCCTTCCAGTCCCGATAAACAACAATTGAACTGCTACATTGACACGAGGTTTGGGTCATGCGAAAGATCAAGCTACGACCCGCCAGTACGAGTCCTTCCCGTGTACTGGTACTAGTACTTTTTGCTCAGTCGCAATTGCTACAATCGTCGACAAATCCACTGAATCCATCGGTTTAGTGCCGGATAAATCACCTTTCGTAACCTGAGTGTGGCCCAATCAGCGGTTTCAAAACCACCCAATCACAGCGTCGAGTGGAGATCGTGGTCCAATCAGGTTTTTCAGTACACTGTACAACACCAGCCAGCTCAACTTCCCTCCCTTCTTCCATTTTGCGACCGACTGCAGTGTCGAAATGGCTCCTTCCGAGACTCTGCAAAACAGGCTCAAGGTCGAGCATCACAAGTATGCCACCTTTGGCCTGCGCGTCCTGCAGCGCCATCCGGCCGTGAGTGCGTCGTTGTTCTCCAAGCTGTTCCTGTCCTGGTGCATGCCGCTCGTGCGCCGGACGCACCAGCTCCAGATGGACGACATTTGGAGTCTTCAAGACATCAACACATGCGAATTCAACACGGATCGATTTGCCGCCGAGTTTGACAAGAACCACTCGGTCGTGTGGTCGGCTCTGCGCGTGTACGGCAACTCGTTCGCGGTCACGGGTATCTGGACAGCGTCCACCCGCCTCCTCGAGTTGGTGGGACCGATGGTATTGGGCCAAGTTGTGGCGTCGACAGGTGATATGACACACTTGTACCAGTGGCTGTTTATCTTGCTCGTGGCCAAACTGTCCAAGGCATTTCTAGCCTCGCACACGATTCTCTTGGAAGAAACTATGGGCATTCGGTACGCAAAACAGTAGCCTCAACGACATTGCACCATGTTGACACACGTGCCTTGCGTAGGTTTGTGGGGGCGCTCAAAGGGCTCTTGTTTCGGAAACTTCTCTCCAAGGGCACCAACTGCCGCCCCGACGGCGTCGTGGAGCTCGCGAATGCGTACTCGTCCGACATGGACGCGCTCTTGCTCGGATGCAAAGCTTTCCACAACCTGTGGATCATGCCCATCCAGATAGCCATCGCGTCCGCCATGCTGTATCGGGAGATTGGTGCCGCGTCGTTTGCCGGCATGGGCGTGATCGCGCTCGTGATGGGGTTCTCAGCGATCGTGTCGCGCCGCCAATCCAGTGCGTATCGCGACGTCGCCACCGCCAGGGACGACCGCATGCAAGTGGTCAAGGAAACGTTTGGGTCGATTTTGATTGTCAAATTGCATGCGTGGGAAGACCGATGCCGCGAGAAGATTCTACAGCGACGCACCACCGGTATACAACCCCTCCATCTGGAACGACTTGTCATGACATGTGTGGTCGTGTAGAGCTAGAGCACATTTGGACGTTCATGGTCATTGCTGCGTCGAGCATCTTTAGCTTCTGGGCAGGTCCGCTGTTTGTCTCGACCGCGTCGTTCGCCACGTACACCGTCGTGCTCGAGCTGCCGCTAACCGCATCCAAAGTCTTTACGTCCATGGCGCTGTTCCGCCTGCTTCAGATCCCGCTCTCCGACCTGCCCATGCACGTCACGTCCGTCCTGCAGGCGCAGGTGTCTCTCCAGCGTATCCTGTCGTTCTTGCAACAACCAGACAAGCCCACGCGACCACAGCCCCCCAAACACCATGTACGCTTGTTATATCAACCTTTCATGTGTCGTCTTGTATTTTTGTTCATTCTGATATTGTCCTTTTACCCAAAATTTGACTGACTTTTGTACTGAATCGTTAAATCTATCGATCATCGATTATTCTTTGTACTGAATTTTGTATGTAAAAAGTTGTCCTGTGGTGATTGGTATCACACCAATTGAAGTCACACACTAATTTGACGTTGATCATGGTTTCCTGCAATCTGATTGGCTAAATCCTTCTGCCGATGATTCTTGTGTACATTTGGTTGTATGTCGATTCATTCTCCATGTCGCTCCAGTTTAGAATAAACACAACAATAGCTCACACTTGTCCATGTTGAAGTCGGCGTCCGTTCGTATATATATATATATATATATATATATTATCCTTTTACCCAAAATTTGGACTTTTGTGCTGATTCGCCAAATCCAACTTTTGTACTACGTAAAGATCGTCCAGCATCACACCTTCAGTTACACACTAATTCGGTGTTGAATGAATTCGATTGACCACTTGATTCATGATTGGTCGATCCTGCTCCAATTTCGAATCACCTTTGACAATTTATATATATATATATATATATCGACATTGCACTTGCCACATATAGCTTGTGTGACGTGAGAGTGTAGGATGGACCGACCATGGTCGTGATTGAAAACGGCACGTTCGCATGGGACCAAGGCGAAGGCGTGGCCCCCACGCTCAAGAATGTGTCGCTGACCGTGTCCCGCGGCGACCTCGTGGTCGTGCACGGCAAAGTCGGCAGTGGCAAGTCGAGTTTGTGCATGGCAATTCTGGGCGAGATGCACCAGACGGAGGGCACGACGGGGGTGTACGGGTCCACGGCGTACTGCTCTCAGGAGCCGTGGATCCAGCAGATGAGCGTCCGCGACAACATCCTCTTTGGATCGCCGTTCGACTCGCGCAAGTACACGCGGGTGGTGGAGGCGTGTGGGCTGCTGCCGGACTTTGGGCTCATGGCATTTGGGGATCTCACCGAAGTGGGGTCGAAGGGGCGCAACTTGTCGGGCGGGCAGAAGGCGCGCATCAGTTTGGCCCGTGCGTGCTATTCCGACGCCGACATTGTCATCCTGGACGCCCCCCTCGCCGCCATCGACGCCGTCGTGCAAAAGCAGATCATGACAAAGTGCGTGGAAACGCTGCTCAAGACCAGGACGGTCATCCTCGTGACCCACAACGGCGACATCATCTCGTCGCCCAACGTGAATCGGCTCGTGCGACTTGAAGATGGATCCATGGAGCATTCGCATGTGAAACCCTCTGAGCCCGTGGTGGCCGCCAAAGTCGCCGACGTCGTCGTGAAAATTCCTTGCGTCGTCGCCAAGCCCGTGATGGACAACCGGTCGATGCCGAGTCCGCTGTGGTCCCCCCGCACGATGGAGGCCGGGGACAAGTGGAACGAGCATTTTGATCATGCGATTTCCGAAACGGTCGGGGAAGAGGAGCGTGCCGTGGGCCGCGTCGGGCTCGACGTGTACGCGTCGTACATTGCCGCGTTCGGCGGGTGGCGCACCATCGGGTTGCTGTTTGTGTTTCAAACTGCCACGCAGGTGCTGCAAGTGGGCTCGGACGTGTGGCTCGGCGTGTGGACGTCCAGCGACGACGCGGTCGTTCAAACCAAGTGGTACCTGGGAATATACACGAGTCTGTGCCTCGGCATGATGGTGGCGGTGCTGTGCCGGACGATCCTCGTGGCCGTGTCGGGCGTCCGGGCGTCGCGCGTGATGTTTGACAAGATGATGTCCGCCCTCATAGGCACCCCCATGTCCTTCTTCGATGACACCCCCCTCGGCCGCGTCGTGAATCGATTTGCCGAAGACATGTCGCTGATCGACATTTGGCTCCCGTTCAGCTACGCCGGGGTCGCGGGCTGGTTCTTTTCCGTTGCGTCGTCGCTGCTCACGGCTATGTTTGTGGTAACGACGGACACTGTTGTATTCAATCAACCAAAAGCAAGCATCATGACATTGATTGGTGGTTGTGTACATACGTAGGTGCGGTGGTGTGGCCTGCTGTTCCTGCCCATGATTTATGTGTACATTCGTGTGGCCCAGTTGTACTTGCGACCGTCTCGAGAGCTCACGCGGCTATGGAATGTCACCAACTCGCCCGTGCTGAGCTTCCTCGACGAAATCGAACACGGTCCGTCCATTCATCTTTGTTGGTGTGGTGGTATTGTGCATTTCACCCAAACTTGGACTTGAGAGAGACTAGTCATTTCGCCAAATTCGTTCGAATTCAATGTGATCCTATTTAATCTCGTACACACTATGCTATACAAGGATTAGTATATATTGGTTTTGCCCAATGCGAAGGGGTCAAACGTTTGGATTGGCAGAAATTCGACATAACATGATTTGATTGGCTCAGACAATTCTTCAATCGATTCCCCAAACACATTCGATTCACATGCGGAGGGGCTCCAGTATTTTCGAATCGCTTTGACAATAACAACATGGTTAGGGTTCATGTTGGTGCGGATCTACGGCGCCACGTACATGGAGCGCGCCGTGAGTCGCCACGCGCACCATGTGAATGCCAACCACCGCGTCCGGTTCGCTCGATGCAGCGTGAACGCGTGGTTTGAGCTGTGCATCCAGCTGCAAGGCACGGCGATCGTGATGATTGTGGCGTCGGGGCTCGTGTTTTTCCGGTCCGTGCTGTCGGCGGGGCTGGTCGGGCTCGCGTTCAACTACATCCTCATGGCAGACGCCAATATTGGGTACCTCGTGTCCAACTTTTCCTGGCTCGAGATCAACATGGTGGGCCCGGAACGCGTGCTGGAGTACTGCAATTTGCCCGCGGAGGAACTGGACACGCCAATGTCGGCTGCGCTGACGTTGACCAGCGGGGCTATCTCGTTCAACAAAGTGCAATTTCGGTACAAACCGTCTGGCCAAATGATCCTGCAAGACCTCACGTGCGACATTGCCGGGGGGGAAAAGATCGGGATCGTGGGGCGGACGGGCGCCGGCAAGTCGAGTCTCACGATGGTGCTCTTCCGCATGTATCCGCTAGTGTCTGGGTCCATCCTCCTCGACGGACGAGACATTGCGACCGTGGCCAAGCAGGACTTGAGGCGGCATCTGTCGATCATTCCGCAGTCGCCCGTGCTGTTCAAAGGCACG